GACTTTTTCTTGTTGGCCATATTGCTGACAAAGATGTATATAATCATGTGATAATTTTAACCTACAGGACAGGGGGAATGATTGGGCAAAAACCCATCCCGGCCCCCTATCCAAAATTATTAAATTGGTTAGAATCAAAAAAACAAAGAATTTAGGAAAGTGATTATACAAAACAAACACTATTTACAACTTTCCTCTTAACATCAGAGTCCAGATGCAATTTCAGGGCCACAAACCCTGCTCTGAATTGTGACCTCCTGTGCTTGAAACGAGCTGCAGATTTTCTTAATATTCCTCCAGAGTTGCAACTTGATCACAATGCCATCCTTGCCCTAAAGTAGGATCGTTGCAGGCAACTTTTCGACCAGCATGCCAGCAGCCTTCTCTGGTCTGGGAGGATAGTGAAAATGTCATTGACGATTGATGCAGTCTTGGTAAACTCCAGAGCTTTGCGTCCCCCCCCCAGATTTCAACATCATCATATCATCGGGAGAAACGTAGTCAGATTAGCCTTATGTACATGAGAAACGTGTGAGAATGACTGTAAATGTGTTCAAGGTGGTGTGCGTACTTCAACACTTGAAAATTTCCGATAATCAAACATTGCATACCAAATTGTTTCTTTTTCAACAGTCAATGCTGCCTTGACATCATCTTGTAATTATATATTAATATTAGTATTATTATTATTACGATTACGTAAAGCAAAATATTATCAATGAAAATCTTGTAATTACCCAACAAGATCTGCTCCGCGTTTTGATTCCATTATAATAACCAAAAAATATCAATACAAATAAAAAAAAGTACCTCTGGTTAGTTATTAACACGTATTCTTTAGGAGACCCAAACAAAACAAAACAACAACACTTACGTTTTGCCACCTTGGGCTCTGTCAAAAAATAAATTAATTGTTTTTAATGTTTTTCCAAAAAAAAAAAATCAATACGCGTCAAATAACCAACTTCTTTTTATTTTTTTATTTAAAAAAAAATGCCGCAAAAAAGAAAATTTAGTCAAAGAAATAAAGGAAACGATACTGGTGCCATCAGAGGGTAAGTGTTTTAAGGATGGTGGTGGTTATCGCCCGCCACTCGTTGTTACTCTAGTTAATATTAATATTCTTTTTTTTTTTGCTTACAAAATGTTATCGAAGAAAAGAGAAAGAAGAAATAAGTAAGTATTTATTGTAAGAATGGTGGTGGTTATCACCACTCGTCGTCACTCTAGTTAATTGAATAAAAATAATTTTCTTTTTATTGTTTAAAATCATGTATTTTTCCGCAAAAAACATCCGCAAATTTGCGCAGCATCATGAAATTATCCAATTTTATTGGTGGGTTGGGTGCGTATTATCCTTATTTAGAAATTGATTTGGCGATTTGCGGAAAAATACATGATTATTTGTTTAATCCATTGCCCATAAAAAATTTTTTTTATTAATTCCAATTCATATGCCCACTAATTTATCATTTGTCTAAATTATGCATAAAAACAGTTAATTGTAACAATCTAAATCTAAAAAAAAATTTTTTTTTAATTAATTGAAAAATAGAACTAGAATTAAAGATGCAAAGAATAGACTTGATATGGCAGAGGAGAAGTTAGAGGAGTGGGAGAGGTGAAGTATAAGGGGTTGAGGTTAAATGAGTTGGAGGAAGAGTTGTATAAGGGAGAATTCAGAAATGAGGAACAGAAGAAAAAGTGCGAAGATAGAATAAAGATGTTGGGAGAAGAGAAGAAGATGTTGGGAGAGAGGTGGGATAGGTTGGAAAACCAGGTGGCAAAATTGCAATACGCACTGATAGAATTTGGCAAAGGAGAAGGTAATGAACAAATTGCATAAAGAAATATACAAAAAATTATTTTTCATTCATTCCATTTCGTTTATTTATTTATTCATTTGAGAGAACGTTTAGTATACTGTTTTTAACTAACAAGTTCTTTAATACTTCTATATTATTGATGACTTTTTAGGTATAGGCAAACATGGTAAGTGATACCACCCATCTTTTACAATTCTGTTATTTAGCATTTTCTGATTTTAAAAGAGTATCTACTTGTTAATCATTGGAATTAAATTTTAGATTTAATAGAAGATGATGATCATGAAGTGGAACGATGTAAAATAGTTACTGGTAATAAAAAATTATGATTTAAATTTTCTGATATATTTTTGTCATTTTTCTATTCTTTTTGATTTTCAATGTATATTATCACATGGTTTATAGAAGCTGCTGAAAGGGCCTTTAATATTGAATATCAGAACAAAGGAGCAGAAGACCTTTTATTAGAACATTTAGAGAAAGAAACAAAGAAATGGGATGCAATACATAATACTTATTATGCACTGTGAGATAGTAAAATGAGGACCGATATAGAGGTCCCACGTTGCCGACCAACCAAACCAAATTACTGCGGAAGTCACGAGAAAATCAAAACATTTTTATTTTTATTTTTAACGTTATATTTTGTGAAATACTGTGCCACACATTGCGCAGTATCACACGCACAATTACTCATA